TAGACAGAACGATAGATAGATAGATAGATATACAGACAGACAGACAGACACTGTTCTGCAGCACTGTTGAGATCTTTGTTGAAACACAAAAACAAGACTATTGGAGTCTTTCTTTCCTACAGGATGTGCTGAGAACTTCTGCTGCATTATAATTAGAATCATCTCTTCCCACCCGCTGATACTCGAGCTCAACGGTGGAAGCCGAAAGGTGTCGATAGACAGACAGACAGACAGACACTGTTCTGCAGCACTGTTGAGATCTTTGTTGAAACACAAAAACAAGACTACTGGAGTCTTTCTTTCCTACAGGATGTGCTGAGAACTTCTGCTGCATTATAATTAGAATCATCTCTTCCCACCCGCTGATACTCGAGCTCAACGGTGGAAGCCGAAAGGTGTCGGCGGTGGCAGGGCGAAAAGTCCACAGAGGGAACTCTGACATTTCCAAATGTATTGTTAAATAAACTGGCAGCGCTGATGTTGGTGACAGCTCATCCATCTGTCTGTTCTGTGGCCCAGAGTGCACACCCACAGCCAAGCGCACTTTGATTTCCTGTCTTTGCCATGACGAATGGCGGCGCTTTGTGGGGGGAGCTGTCAGGGCAGGATTCACAGCCACTCGGAGCGACCCACACATTTCTCTGTTACCGAACCCCCCAAAAGGCCCTGACAGACAAAAGTACGTGTTGCAGGTAATGGGCCTGTCTTAAAAAGCACACAGAAGCCCTTTTATTTCATCACTCTCCCGCACTGTAAATCCATTTCCGAAGCCAAACACACTCCATCTGTCTCTCAGCCGTAGACGTGTTCACTAATATGAATTATTCTCGTCTGTAGTGGGGTTTTTGGATACCAGTCAGAGAACAACATCTACTACAAATCATGCCATCTTAAATCATAGCTGGTGGTTGTCAAAGGTGGTCAGAAATTTCACCCGCCAAGAATCAACAGATAAATTACCTTTCCTTGAGAGTACTTCCAGAAAAGGCCTCATGAAATTGCCTGACGAGTTTTCTTTTCTGTCCTGTGTTGATGCATTTCCTATTGAAATGACATGTTTAGGTGGGACATATCGCAAAATAGCTGATGATGGTTAGTTATGTCATATCCATGAACAATTATTCAATACTTGCTGCTCGATTGCAAAGGGAGATACATAATAGATGAAAATAATAATGGTCAAAAAAGTATGCTTCTTCAGTGTTATCATGATTAACGAAAACTAAAATGAAAACTAAATAGATTTGAGTTAGCTGAAATAAAAATAAAAAATAAAATATTGGGGAAAATGTTAAACCAAACTAAGATATATATTTACATATAAACTCATTTAAGCATGTTCATGTTTAAAATACTTTTAAGTTATATTAAAATAAATAAATAAATAAATGTCAAACATGTCAAATACACAAAAGTAAATGTAACACCAAAACGCCACTATACAGTTAAGTGCTTTACAACAATTTATTTTTGTTTATTTTTCTTTTTTAAATACTACACTCTAAAAAATGCTGGGTTAAATATAACCCAGCACTGGGTTAAAAAGGGACAAACCCAGCTATTGGGTTGTTTTGACCCAGCGGTTGGGTTCAAAACAACCCAACAGCTGGGTTATATTTAACCCAGCATTTTTTAGAGTGTAGTTAATGAAACTTTGGCCCTAAAAATAATAAATAATAATATAATAATAATAAAAACTAAAGATAAACTCTATACTAAAACAAATAATGACAGAGTGAACTAAATTAAAAAGACAAATTGAAAAAAATAAAAATGGCCACTGAAAGTAGGCATACAATATTATTGTAGATGTTTCACCAGTGACCTATTTTTTTCCTCACAGGCCTCTCAACAGCATGAAACAGACTTATGCTTTCCTTGTCTGTCTAATAAGCAATGATCAGAGGCATTTACGGCTCAGGTGATTGGCTCAGAAAATCTTTCTGGAACTCAAGCAAAGGCAGCAGCATCCAGGCCGCATGCACCAGCCGAGCAACTGCCATTAAGATGGATGAGACTTCTAGATAGCTCTCCAGGTTTATTAGAACTCCTTGAAAATCAACCAACGAGCGGCTTACAGTTGTCTCTGCATATTAAGCCAGACACAAGAAAGTGCTTAAACATCAGAAAAATGTCACACATCACCCTTAACCAGCGCGAGCAGTATCTCTGATGTGCAGTGCAGCATTTGGAGCATTTGACGGATAAAGAGAGACGTCGGTCAGTGACATTTAGCTTGTGTCCTAACAGCCTGCAGATTTGCACATGCAGAGAAGCTTGTTTGCATCTCACTCCACAAAGCAGCTGAATCAAATTTGCACAGGCATTAGTTTGAACGCGCAGTGGTGCGGGAGGTGCTCAATGAAACTGAAATCTCTTTACGATATTTAACAAACGACTAATCTTCTGCTCTGAGCTTTCCGGAGAATTCCACTTCGGAAGAAGAGAGACTTTTTAATTGGACTCCTGACAATTGATTTTAATCTTGTAAATCTCTCATCTCGTCACTGTCCCTCTCGTTACTCCGAGCATTGGTGATGAAAACGCTCTGTGCATTATCGTGATGTCATCACAGCGGCTCTGTTGTGATCCTGGATGACAGCCCTGGCCGGAGAGGACGGCATAATTAAATCACGACTATAACACATGCACTGCTGGCGCACAAAGACACACACACATCTCCATATCGCTTGCATCTTACCACAATTAAAGCGGTATCATATTATGCATGTGTACGCTGGATCTTTTAAAAAGGCCATTAAAAGGACAAGAGCGATGAGGGTTTTTCATCACATGCCTATGGTCTTGAAGGGTCAAGGCCTCGTCGAAACCACATGCTTTCATCTGTAAATGGCTCGGAGCCAAACAGCGGCAAAGGCCGATGGTCACGCACATTGATAAATCAATATCTCACCCACAACTTCAGTAGGGTCACGGATATCATTATTGAAATGAAAGGCCACCACTCTGTAGCATCACAGCAATCATAAGTTGCCACTTCATCCGGTTATAGACCGAAATCATGTTCCTTTAATGGATTTTTTGTCTCCCAGAATTGAAAATTCAGTCATTATTTACTCATTCCAAACCTGTATGTCTTTCTTCAGTGGAAAAATAAATACATAAGCAATAAAAAATATGAACTGATTTTAAAAAGTCTTCAATGCAATGTAAGTGAGAAATATAAGTAAATAAATTCAAATTAAATCATAAAAATATGAAGTGATAACAAAATAATTAAATGCAAGTCCTTTTGGATAAAAGCATGACAAATGCATAAATGTAAATAAACTAAATAAAACATGAAAATGCCACCAGAGAGCAACACTACCAGACTGTGCTTAAAAATAAACAAACACATAAATAAAATAACGCTGTTAAATAATTGTTTCTTAAACTTGGGCAGAACACAGAAGAGTATAGTCTATAAAAATGGTTCAACTGTTTTTGTCTACAATAAAATGTAATGGGGCCCAAAACAGCATATTTTTTATGTTGTGTTTTTTTTTATCGATAAATAAACAATTTTTTTCCCCCCACAGAAAATAGAAAGTCATTTACGCTTGGAATGACATGAGGGTGAGTAATGACTATCTATCATCTATCGTTCTATCTATCTATTGTTCTATCGTGCTGTTGGCATATCGTTTTATCATTCTATCTTTCTATCCATCTATAGATACATGAACAACATGACTTCATGGCAGAAATATGCCCTCACATTGCCTGTAAAATACAACGCATTCAGTGACATTCGATTAGTGATTTATCAGCTTCTGCAGCTGGACATGTTGAAAACATTTCAGGCCCTCAGGGTTTTTTTAAATTTTTTTTTCAAGGTGGTCAGAATTAAAAAAATTATTTCAGCAAAGGAGTTTCCCTCCTTAGTTTGAGCTGGAGGCCATGAAGCCCAAATAAAGCTCAACCATTAACTGAGAGGATCTAGAAGGAATGTTTGATCCCTCGAATACAAGACACCAGTTCACGCCTACTAACATTCAGTGCGCTGAACGTCTCCGTTAAACGTGAGGATTTGTGCAGCAGGGTGCCCATAATTCTGCAGTATTACCGTGCTAAGACGCCACCGTGAGATGAAGTGTTAATGTCTGTAAAATCTCTTATTATATCCCATCTTAACTCAAAACCCCATCGCACCCCCCACTGACAGCCATCTGCAAAACTTCCACATCAGCACACAACGCTGTGCCATGTATGACATGCCTCCCAGTGCCTTTTTAGGGCAGTTAGCTTATCAAATGTGAGTCACATTCTTACCCCTGACTCAAATCATGTCTATCCTCTTCATTACCTCTAGAACACACACAGAAACGCCGGACAGACTCGCGCACACACATGCAACAACACACTGTAATGCATGTTCAGTAGGCATTGATGCAAATGCATGCATACAAAAGCACTGGTCCCTGAACACATCATTCACAGCATTAGAAGAAGCAAAAGAACTTCAGAGACCCATGAGCTTCACACTACAACTAGTCCGACACACACAATGTGCCTCTAAAAGCCATTCACGTAGAAAAGAAAACCACAAATTAGATCTCAGCTGAGAGAAATCTCAACAATGACACAAATTGTGATCAGATTTCTCAAGTCCGCAATCAGAGGTTCTTCACATTTGCGTTCCACATCTCAAATTCGTATTTCTCCAAAGACGTTTTAGGAGACAAAGTTACATCTCCAATAAATCTCCTGAGCAATACAATTTTCCTCTGGGTTGTGAAGCATGCCCTCTATATTATGCTATAGATTTCCATAATAATATCACAAGCTCTCCAGGGTCTCTCAGAGGAGTCCTACACTGTATGGTTTCTCCCCTGGGTGTTAAGGCGCAGAAGCTTGGCTCAGAGAAATCTGACAGCTGCATTTTCAAACAACTTTAAAAAAGGGACAAATTCAGGTGAGTCTATGCATAGAGATATGATGTTATTTGGACCCCGTTACCATAGCGAAAGTCATGTATTCTGATGCTCAACACTTGCCTTCTTTCAGGATGTGGGTGTAGATCATCCACAGCACGAGCAGGCAGCAGAGAGACGCACCTCCGCCGGCACAGAGCGCCCGCATCCCCGACTGCATCCTCACTACGTCCCGCAGAAAATACCCCCGGCACCCAGCCTAGAGCAAGTTCAAAGCAAACTCGGCTACTTCCATAGATTTTCACGGGAATGCGGCCGGGATGCGAAGAGAGAGTTAATCCGACGTGAATTTACGCACAGTGGTTTCCATTTTACGCATCTCATAAAACGCATTCAAATATTTAACTTGCAGTGAGGGGCATTAAAAAGTCATTATTGAATGGGTACGTGCCCAATTTAATATTTAACTATACAGGCTAATATGTGTTTTAATTAAAAAGCAAAGCAAATCAAATTGATGGAAAACTCATCCAAGCAAAGTAAAATGAGTCATAATTTGGTCCGTTGGAAATTGAGCAAATCCTCTGCGGTCTGGAGAAGTATCCACACAGGGTGAAATGGTCAGTGGTACCAGTCCAGTGGTAACAGGTCCAGAATGTACGGATGCTGACTGTAGATGAGCTCGAGACGGAGGTTCGGTTGTGGGTCTTCAGAAATGCGTCTTCTTCAATGTCACTCCGACGTTCCCAAACCAGTTCGTGTCAAATCACACAGAATCTGCCCTGTGGAGTTACAGAGAACAGCAGTGAAGCGTTTCGCACACATTCTCCGTGATTCGTGGCTGGATTCAGAGACGAGCTCTCCCTCCTCTAGCACGCGCGCACACACTAACTCACGCACACACTCGCAATGTGTGGGGAGAAGGGATGGAGATCATAAGGAATTTAACTATTCCGGTTCCTTAAGGATTTTTTTAGTACATAAGGAACATATTTGACAATGCAATAGAACTGTCCAGTTTGTGGT